TGAACCTGAAACAGAGGCGCTAGATTGAGCTTATTAAGGATTATGACTGCACTATTCATTACCAACCAGGAAAAGTAAATGTTGCGGTAGATGCTTTGAGTCATAAATCATCAGATAGATTGACTTGTTTGCGAGTGATTCAGAAAGGTTTACTTGTGGATTTGAAATCTGAAAGTGTATTTGGGGATAGGAGAGACTGCAGCTCTACTTGCTACACTGACTTTGAGACCAATGTTGGAGGACAGGATCAGAGAAGCATAACAATTTGATTTCCAGATTGAGAAATTGAAGAAAGAGGAGAAGACTAATTTTATTATTGATAGTGCTAATGTTTTGTTATTTGATTCTCGGTTATATGTACCTAATGATGCAGGGTTAAAAAGAGAGATTCTGGAGGAAACACATAGTTCAGCATATGCTATGCATCTAGGTAGTACAATGTTGTATCATGACCTGAGAGAGCATTATTGGCGGCCTAGAATGAAAAGAGAGAGATAGTTGAGTTTGTGGCTCGATGTTTGGTATGTTAACAGGTGAAGGCTGAGTATCAAAGACCAATCGGGTTATTACACTCTCTACCAATTCCAGAAGGGAAGTGGGAGCATATTACTATGAATTTTGTGAGTAATTTTTCTCGTACGTAGAAAGGACATGAGACTATATGGGTGATAGTTGATAGGTTGACGAAGTCTGCTCATTTTGAAGCAATTAAAATGTCCTATGCTCTTGACAATCTAGCTATATTGTACATTGATGAGATTGATGAGATTGTATGGTGTACCTATATCTATTGTTTTGGCCTAACTTACAGACTGCATTGGGCACTACTTTGAAGTTTAGAAGTTTAGGACAACATTCCACCCACAAACAGATGGATAGATAGAACATACTATCCAGACATTAGAGGACATGCTGAGAGCTTGTGTCATGGACCTTCGAGGTAAGTGGGATAATTATTTGTCTTTGATTGAATTTACTTATAATAACAGTTACTAGAGTTCAATTGAAAATGACACCATATGAAGCTTTGCATGGGAGGAAGTGTAGGACCCCAGTGTGCTGGAGTGAAGTGGGTGAGAGGAAGTTATTGGGTCCAGAGATTGTGCAGATGACTGCTGATCAGATTAAAGTTATACAAGAGAGATTACAGAGTGCACAGACTAAAAAGAAAAGTTATGCTGACAATTGCCAGTGTGACTTGGAATTCGAGGTGGGTGATCGAGTGTTTTTACGGGTATCATCTTGGAAAAGTGTCATTTGTTTTGGCAAGAAAGGGAAGTTGGCTCCCAGGTATATTGGTTCATACAACATTGTAGAGCGGATTGGAGCTGTTGCATACCGATTGAAGTTACCAGTAGAGTTATCCAGGTTGCATGATTTATTCCATGTGTCTATGCTATGGAAGTACATGTCTGACCCATCACACGTGTTAACTTTAGAATTGATGGAGTTAGTTGAAGTTTTGACTTATGTAGAGCAGCCGATTCAGCTTTTGCGTAGGAAAGAGAAAATTTTACGCACGTAGACGATACCGTTGGTAAATGTTTTGTGGCGTAGTCATTCAGTAGAGGAAGAAACCTGGGAGACTGAGGAAATATGCGGGCTCAATATCCACATTTGTTTAGTGCAGGTAAGAAATTTCAAGAACGAAATTTTTATTAGTAGGGGAGAGTTGTGAGACCCAATCACACATTGCATGCATATTAATATAATTATGAGGGCTAAATTATAATTATGTAAAATTATTAAAAGGGTTAATTAAATTAAATCTTTCATAAGCATGATGTGAGTGAGCATACATTGGGTATGTGGACCCCGTTAGTGATATATTAGTGATCCATTTATAGGAATTTCATGTATGAAAATACTAGTGGGTCAATTTTGAAATTATTTAAAAACTTGAGGGGAGATAAACATAATTATTCAATGTAATGACTCACCTTTACATGTGTTGGCTTAAAAAAAAAAAGAAAAAAAATGCGCCATGTGTGTGTGAGTGTGTGCTGTGTGTATGTGTGTGTGTGTTTAAATGTGTAAAGTGTGTTTGTGTTAAGTAAAATATAAAAGGGGTGTGTGTGTGTGTTTAATATAGAAAACAAAGTGTGTGTGTGTAGTGAAGCCGAGAGTGAGTGAGAGTGAGTGAGGTGAGCAAGAGAACAAGAGAAAAAAAAAAAAAAAAGAGAAGAGAACTGTGAGTGACTCTGAGCAAGAGAGAAAGAAAGAAAAAAAATAAGTGTGTGTCCATCTGAATCATGAGCAAGGAAGGTACGCAGGACTCAATTTACGAATGAGTTGTAATTAATTTTAGTATATATGTTATTGTACATGTGCGGGCTGTTTTAACATGTTTTAAATTATTGACTATTTTAATTAAAACACCTGTACTAATTGTTTGTTTCCGATGTTATAGACATACAACATACAAAATCTCACACTCACATAGTATTTCTCACAATGTATACTTGTTGAGTTTATTTATAAACATATACTATTAACCTGTCATAATAATCTCTCATAAATATAATACACAACCCAGCAATTAGTCATACTGACACTCAATCTAAGTGATATCACACTAACGTTGCACAAGCCTCAATCAATTGGAGAGTGGATCGGTCTGCATCCTCCTCTATAGTACCTAAAAAGAAGAATCTGTAGGGGTGTGAGCTAAACCACGTACTCAGTGAGTATATATGTTGTATATGAAATAAAAATGATAATAATGCACTGAAGTATGTAGATACTACGTATATACACGTATCAAACAACAACATCAATCCAATTTTAGAGAATTCACAAGTCACATCACATCCATACTATCTCTTATCGGGTAATCGATCCCACATGGATCCGTGTCTCCCGAACCTCCCAAGAACATCACAGTGCTAGCACGTCACTGTACGCCCAGTGATCAGGCATCGACGCCCTTATCTCAAACAATGCGCCACATTCACAATACATAGTACAAAACATCAACCAATCACATAAACCTGTAGCACATTCTCCTGAAAAATTGCTATTAAATTCTATTATTTACTATCATCTTATAATAGTAGTTTCAAAATATATAAAGATATACACTCAACTCAGATTACACAAATTTATGGTCATTCAGTCCTATCGGTGGATCCTTTTGGTGTCACCGTATTTGTTCCAATACTGACTGTCTTACTCGTTCCACTTAACAGATTTGTAATTACGATATCAATATGTTTATTACATTTAATAGTTAATCATGCACTAATGCATGCAAATGATGCACCTCAAAGTACCCCGATAACCCCTGTTACCGCACTATTTATTCACACATTAGCACTTTTGTTTTAGGGATCACATTTCTTCTCCAAATTTTCAAAATCACTCACATTAATTACAATTAGGATAACCGGGGGCCCATTTTCACACATTTTGACCCCAAATCTTAAAAACTGCATTTCCGACATTTTATACATTTCGCACCGAATATTATACTCATTTGCATTTGAAAGTCACATTATCACATCAAGCATCATTTAAAAATGCTATATGCAAAATTTCAAGTCATTTGAATTAAATTTCACACATGTGAGAATAATATTTAGAAATCAGCGTTTCAGCGTTACCGACACCCGTTTTCCACTTCTATCACACTTTTATTTAAAACCGTCACACTGAAATTCACACACACATTTAATCAATGCAAAACAACCCCTAATTGGGCCTTTAAACCACCTATTTCATTCTCATAATTTTTGTTTTCAACCTAATTCTCAAAAAACATACCGAATATCTCAAATAGTAATTTTTCACATTTTTCTCACTTTTAGTTTAATACACATTTGAAACCTATTTTTAATAGCTTGTTAATTATGCTAAATATACTTAATTACACCCAAAATCAACTCATGAAATTAAATTAAAACAACCCATTATTTTAACCAAAACAATCCATGAATTAAATTAAAATAACAACTAATTTAAAACATGTTAAAACAGCCTACACATGTACAATGACATATACACTAAAATTAATAACAACTCATGGATAAATTGAGTTTCATGTATCTTTCTTGCTCACGGTTCAAATGGACACACTTATTTTTTTCTTTTTTTCTCACTTGCTCACAGTTACTCACGGTTCTCTTTTCTTTGTATTTTTTTTCTCTTGCTCCCTTGCTCACCTTACGCACTCACTCTCGGCTTCGGTACACACTTTATTTTCTATATTAAACACACACACACTTTTTATATTTTACTTAACACACACGCTTTACACCGTAAGCATGCGCGCGCACACATACACACACACGGCCCACACTCACACACGATACATTTCTTTTCTTTTTTCTTTTTTTTTTAAGCCAACAAATGTAAATGTGAGTCATTAAATTGAATAATTATGCTTACCTCCCTTCAAGTTTTTAAATAATTTTAAAATTGACCCACTAGTATTTTCATACATGAAATTCCTATAAATGGATCTCACTAATATATCACTAACGGAGTCCCACATACCCAATGTATGCTCACTCACATCATGCTTATGAAAGATTTAATTTAACTAACCCCTGTAATAATTTTACATAATTACAATTTAAACCCACAAAATTATATTAATATGCATGCAATGCGTGATTGGGTCTCACAAAAAGACCAAAAGCTACGCTTTGATTAATAAATAATTAACTGTCTCAATCACAAGCGTGACACGTGAATTATCAACAGACAAAAAGTGAATCAACGTTTAGAAATTAATAAAGCAATAAAACTTTTTTAAAAAGAAATTTAGAAATCAATACAACTTATATTTGTATAGTATTTGTGGCTAAGACGAGAAGTAGATAAACATTGAATTAGACTTGTAAGATAGAACACAGTGTTTGTATGGCAGTAAGGACAAGCCACACGAAAGTATCAATCAGTAAAAGGAGAGACCAAGGGCTATTGAAATAATCTTGCTTCAATTTGGCCATCCATATGCCCCAACTATGCCTCCATTTGGCCATGCATTTATACCGATGTCATTCACAAGTGCTCCTCAATTTGACTGCGTATTTGGGAATAACAGAAGCTATAATTAGGCACGATAACAACACTACTCAAGTTGTTACACGTGCTAAAAATTGATTCGTCATTCATCTTTTTCGAGCAACCTAAAATTCCACATTGGCGAAGTATTTTGACATCCTTTGGTGACTTGATGAGGTTATTCATAAACTCCATATAATTAGTCCCATACGCCCATTCATTTTCATGAGCATACAACTCGTATGCTATTAGATTTCTGAAAAATATCTCGAAATCATCTTTAATGCAAAACCACGGGATCGTTACGATCCCCATTTTGAAGTCTATATCCAGCAATGAGTCACGACTGAAGGCCACTGTCAATTTAATCCCGGCCTCCTGAAGTTTTGTGGCACATTTTGTTAGCTTCGGAACGAAGAATATGGGCTGACCCAAGCGATCCAGAAATGAAGGACGCATGCGAGAACGCATGACGCCTAGAAGATGATGCAAATCTCCTGCCGTAGGTTGACATGTAAATCGATAATTCCGTATGAAACTGACTTGCTTATAGAGGCAAGTCCATAAATCTCCTTCCACTGAAAAGTGTGGTTCTTTGGTCATGTCCGATAGCCGATTGAGGAAGAACAAAGGTAGTTGATTTTCAAATAACAATATATCTTGAACTAAAATAATTCGTATTCTGCTCAACTGTAAAATATCTATTTTTCTCAACTCCGGAGGCCTAAATTTTCTCAGTAATTCCATTATTAAAATCCCGTCGAGTAGCATCATTTCCACAAACTCATCCCTACTAAGTTCTACGTGTCCTGCATAACAATTCCTTGTAGGTTCTTCCAATACTTCCATGGCTTCGACATATTTACCCACACTTGACTCCTTTACTCGTTCAAGATACTCTTGCAGGTAGCGTAATTTATGCCCTTCCATCATTTTAGGTTTCTTTACCATGCTGATAAGGACCAATTGCAAGTAATTATGACTCATAAGCCCTTTTGTTTTCCTTACATAGGACTTCATCCACTCTAAAGATATAAGATTCACATGGTACTTTGGATGATCAGGCGGCTAGTTTTTAATCGATGCGAATTGATAGCTGAGACATTTGGTTTCCCTTCAAAATCTGTAGGTACTAATCATAACCAAATATCCACGAATTCATCAAAAAAAAAAAAACTATGTTTCTCATCTGGCAAACAAAAATAAAATACTATTTGAGTTTCAAATTTGAAAGGGTTAGATTCCAGATGATTGATATATGTGTGTGTAGATGCAATAATGCTATTATTTGTTTCAATCAATAAAACTTAATTTTTTTATATCACAAGATCACATTGTGTGCCCAAATTCACGATTTTATAACTTTGTACAGAAATAATAAATTTGCAAATAAAATAGGGTAAATAACAAAAAATTTCCCGGTACTAAGCCTCATTCTCACTTCACCCTTCTCTACTTTATGGGTTTCACTTTACCCTTCAACTTGTGAATAAACTATAAATATTAACCGATGTAACCGTTTATATAAAAGGACTAAACTACTCTTGATTGTAATCAAATTTTCTTTGTGATGCCATCATTGTAGAACCATAATCTTTAAAAAACAAAAAAATTTATAATTTGCAAATGACCTGGTCTGGTCGGGCTTAATTTTCTATGAAGATTTCATTAGTGTGATTAGATTTTTCATGTTGTATGTGCGCTCAAATTCGTGTTTAAAACTTAACATAATAATTAAATTTTCAAATAGGTTACGTAGCAAATGACCTTTTATTCCTCAATTGAGGCTTGAGTTGTGTTATGGGGTTGTAGTATACTGTATTGGAGTGCTTGGAAGCCATGGCCGAGTGTTTGTTTTGTGTGTGGTGACAAAACCAACTAGGATTTGAAAACTTGAAAATCAAAACTTTGGAAAACTTGTTAAAGCTTTAAAAGGGGGGGTTGAGTCTAGTTAATTTGGGATCAAGGTGTTCAAAAATAACCTTAAATTTGAGAAAAGAAGTCGTTTGATAGGTTAAAAATGAATTTGCAGGTACGAAGAAAGTGGTGAGAGAGAGAAGACGATGAAGGGTAAAATTGATAATTTAATTTTTTTGATTTAAGAAAAAAGATATTTATTTTATAACACGCGTTTAATTAGTGCATGAAGTTATTGCGCCGTTTCGCTAAATGAATTCTGTTAGATTTGTAATTTGCTCACAAGTTAGAGGAAGTAAGTAAGTGAAATCTATAAAAGTTGAGGGGTGAAATGAGATCGAGGGAGATTTTTTGTTATTTACCCAATAAAATAAAGTTAAATATGAGGTGCTTAAGATCCAAAAAACTTGATGGTGGCTCATTAAAGGTCCATCAAGGCCGGCATGCTGGGAAGAGAAACTTTTTGTTTCCCAACTGTAACGTTATGCTTATCAAGTTCGTACTAAATTTTTTCTATCAAGTGGTGTAGTATAATCTCCACGTCATTAATAGGACTCACTTTAATGGTGAAAACTGTGCCACATCATTTGAAATGAAAAACTTCGTAAAAAATCTTGGATAATAAAATATTGATGATTTCACAAACTCACCTCCAAGCACTAGTGGGACAAGTTTTGACTATGGCATGAGGGTTAATTATATTGGAGGTTTTCAAAATATAGGATTTGTTTCATTTTTCTCTCAAATATTTTAATTGCATTATTTTAGTCTCTGAAGTGTTAAATATATTTTTATGTGGTCCCTCAAGAAGACAATGTCCAGATATTCTAACGATTTTTTTATTATGAACTTGACACGTAATACTTAAAATATGGTCAAAAAAATAATATGGATAAGTCTTGATCAAATTTTTACCAAAATTTTAGTCAAAGAGTCACCCAAATTACACAGTTTGATAATGAATTGTCCAAATTTTGGTCCAAAACAACTAATATTACACATTTTTGTCAAGAACTACCCAAAGTTTAGTCAAGAGCTAACCAAATTATTTTCTGCCCATATTTAAGTATCCCGTGAAAAGTTTCTGATAAAAAAATTGCTAGTAATTTAGATGTTGTCTGCTTAAGAGATTACATATAAACCTATTGAATACATCAGAGACCAAAATAATGCAAAAAAAATAGGACAAATTGCTCCAATGGTCCCTGAAGTTTACCACTTGTTGTACTTTTATCTCTAAAGTTCTAATTTTGTCAATTCATCCCCAAAGTTCAAACATTGAGTCAATTTAGTCCTTGACACTAACTGTCGTCACAAAAATAGATGGAAAACACTATGTGCCTGTCACGTGCATATCTTTAAGGGTATTTTTGGTATTTTACAGAAAAAATTGAGGGCAAAACAGAAAAATAAAAAATTGATTGCCCCTCCCTCCTCTCCCCCCCCCCCCCTCAGAAATCAAAAGCCTTATCCCTACTGTATATCTCCACCCTCCACCACCCTCTATTACTCGCTAGGCCAACCAATAACTGTCACCACCTCTATTTTACCCTCAACCATCCAAAATCCATTCTACACAACCTCTACTGCAAAGTCAACTCAATCATCTAGTTAATAACACAGTCACTCCTCAAGCAAAGCCAACTTCTAAGCTCACCACCATCACCACCACACCACAAACCCAAACCCAACCCACCATTGCTACCTCCACTATAAAAAAACAAACACGAAATCTTGATAACCCATACAATTTCTAAGAACAAAGCAGAGAAAATAGGGAGAGATATTTAGGAGAGAAAGGAAATCACAATCATAATCTAATCCCAATTCAAACCTAATTTTTCATCGGTCCAAAATTTGGGGTTTTGATACTCAATAATTGATGAGCAATTTCGGGGTATGCTTTTGTGGTTTTGTGCTGCGTGTGTGCTGGGGTTTGAAAGAGGGAAGATGTGTTGGGTATGAGGATGACAGACACAAGAACGTAGAGAGAGAGAGAGAAAAAAAAAAAAAACCTATGGGAGAACCAAGAGGGAGATTTGGTCATCGCGGTGGGCGGTGTGATCGTTCAGCATCCCTGAGACATAGATTGGTTCTTTGTGTCGTGTTTGTGCTTCACATGGAGGCTAGGGTTTGAGAGACAGAGAAAGGGTTATGTTGGGATAAAGGGAGAGAAGTGCCACATGGAGGCTAGGGTTTCGATTATTCGTCTTGGATCAGTCAGCACACACAAGAAAGAGAGAGAGAGAGAGAGAGGAATATGTTTGGTCTGGGAAGAGAGAGCACAACAACATAGATAGAAAAGAAAAAAAAAGGAAAGGAGGAAGAAGAAGGTGCATATTCGAGTGCATGTCTAATATATATTGTCCAGATAGAGAATAATGTTGTTTGAATGCATAGATTATTGTAAAATACCAAAAATACCCTTAAAGATATGTACATGACAGGCACATGGTATTTTTTGTCTATTTTTGTGACGACAGTTAGTGTCGAGGACCAAATTGACTCAATGTTTGAACTTTGGGGACGAAATTGACAAAATTAAAACTTTAGGAATGAAAGTACAACAAGTGGCAAACCTCAGAGACCATTGGTGCAATTTACCCATTAAAATATTAGGAATTAAAATGAGAAAAGTCTAAAATTTAGAGACCTTGAGTATAATTAGCCCAATATGAAATCATGAAATTGCCATGCTAATTGTAGCTTTGTAAGAACTAGTCGAAATTGTTAATATATTTCACAGAGAGCAACAACCATTACAAAATTAAAAAAAAATCCCGACAAAGATCATTACTCGCAATTTAAAAAATTACAAACTGTTTGAGCAAAAAGCAACAAATATTACGACAAATTGATCTGCAGACCGATATATGAGACAAGAAACAAATAGAGGAAAAAAAACATAGTGATACTTGTATATGTAAAAAAAAATCAAAGGATTGAGTTTTGAAGAACTTACTTGATATGATTTTCAGTCCTCGCGATGGAAATATTATGTGAAGATGAGACAAGAAAGAAGATGAAGAAGAAGTAACTCCTGATAGAAAGAATACATATTTATAGGCAGTTGATGGAAAGAATACATATTTATAGGCAGTTGATTTCTTCTTTTTCGTTATTCAACATGCAACATTTCAGTTTGACTTAAAGAGAGAGATTATTAATGTCCTCAACTTGTCTTAATTTGACTATACCATTTTGAGTTTTATAATATGAAATTCTTGAATGGAAACAAAAACATGGAGGCAAAGAAATTTCCAAGCAAGAGCAAATGAGTTTTGTCCTTGTTTTTTTATTACTTGAATAAATTACACTTTGATCTCAACTCTACCTAACGCTGATCTTACTTCCCTCTTCAACTATTGAATTTTTCACATTGCCCCTCACTGCTTGAATTGGTTTTACATTAACCCATATGTAAAAATCTGTCATCTTTTTAGGTGGATAACATTCATGTATCTGGGCACATTGAAAAAATGCCTTAACTTAGAGATGACAAATTCGAACATCTTTCTCTCAAATTTGCAACGAAATGTAAAATTAATAATCATAATTGAGAGTGCAAGGCGACAAACATAACAACTGGGGGAGCAATATGATATAGAGGGTATAGTTCAAAATTCAAAGTGTACTTTTTCCGTGTTACTCATAATGCCGTAGAAGAGAGACCTAGTCAATATCATCTCAGTCTTGTTGTATCTATATCATTGAAAACGAGTGAGTTTTTTAAAAAATCAAAAGAGGACTTCCTTGAGTTTGGCTTGTATATGTCTTCAGCTTGTACAAATACCATATGGTACTCCACCACCACCGCCACCAAGAAAGAAAATAAAAGAAAAAAAGTATTGAGGAGATCTAGATTTGCACGTGGTACATTGAGGGGGCTTAAGCGAAAACCAAGCATAGGGCTCGTTTATGTAGGATACAATTTTTTTTTTCAAAAGCCACGCAGTGTGGATGGGGAGTTTGGCAGGACCCCTACCCCTATATATAACTAAAAGAAAAAAAAGTTTAAAGGAGGAGGATAAAGAACCAAACCTCTAAGGGCTCGTTTGGTTGTCGTACTAGAAATTGATGGATTAGATATAATAATACAGTCT